TTCCCTTTTGAAAGCTTGTAAGCCAGTCACTTCTTTCCTTTGTAGCCCTCTTCCACCCCCCCACCCCCCATTTTGGGTAGCCAATGTCCAAGTTGTCCATCCCTGTCTACTCTGTGTGTGGAGGGGGTGGGAATGATTCTTGTTGTAAGAATTTGTTCTCTCATTTGAGCTACTGCTTCCATAGGTGTAGGTCAAGTTCATCAAATTGCATCAGATTACTCTGTTTTTCCTCTTCTTTCTTCTTTTGGTTGAGCTCTGATCATCCGGTCATTGAAGCCAGGTCAAGTGGGTACCATCTGCAAGTGTGGGTGTTCTTGTGCATATGCCCTCTCTTTTTATCAGCTGAATGCTTCACTCTCCACATTGTAGGGCTTAGCTCGCCACTTCATTTTTGTTTTGAGAACATCAGTTTAACACTCATCGTTTCATTGCCATGATTACAATCTCTCCTGTGTATCATCATTCAACAGTGCTTGCTTCTATTCCCTCTGGTTTGTTGTTGTTGTTGTTGGGGGATGGACACAAAAACATTGAGGAATATATAATCAATTCAACAACCAAATTCTGCAAGCCTGCCTCCTGGCCGCCAGTACTTAGCTTTTCTCGTTCCATGAGTCTAGAGTCCTCAGCTGTTCTCTCTCTTCATGTCATCATCTCTGCCTCTATCTTTGATGTCACTGCTTCTCTGGATAGGGTCCCACATTCTGCTCATGCTCTTCTCCCTTGATGGTCCTAGGGTCCTCTGTTTCTGGAAGGTAAGATTAATTACTCCCCTTTTTATGTTACAAAACTTCTGCCTTTACAGTTGTGACATTTGCAATTAGTCATGATAACAATTATTCACTATTGAATCATAAGAATCTTATCCCCATCTCCTTTCACCAGACCTGTCTAGACAAGATAAAAACTATTCAGTGGGGAGTCTGTCTTCCCCCGCACACTCTGAAACTAAACTCCCTCTTCAAAACTTGTAAGCCAGTCACTTCATGCCTTTATTGTCCCTCCATTTTAGGTAGCCAATGTCTAAGTTGCCCGTCCCTATCAACTCTGTGTACAGAGGGGATAGGTTTGTTAAAACTTCTTTTAATAAGTTCCTGTGATATCCTGTAAAGGTGTCAAGATTTCCCCTTTGTGTTCCTCCAAAACCTGTCCCCCTAACCTTCTGAGCTGACTTCTCTGCCTTGAATTGAGCTGCCTCAGCAGATCCCCATGAAAGCCACTGTTTTGATTGGACTTTTTGTTTTAAAGCACCCTAACAAGATGACAAGGGAATGACTGAAAGAACTTATCTGCGGCCATGCATTGATCCCAGAAATATACTTTAATATGTTTTGTTTGGAATAACCCTACATATGTATGAACCAGTAACAATATAAATTTTTTTTTTTTTTACTAACCCTGTTATACACATGAGAAACTATCATCTCAGTCATGAGAATTCAACAACCACCCCCTCCACTTTCTGCTCCTGTAAAGATTTGTAGCTTCGGAAACAGTATGCAGGGTCACTATGAGTCAGAACTGAGTCAATGACACCTAACAACAACAACAACAACAAAAATGTTCTTGTGTCATCCTTCCTTCCCTTTTTGCTCTTCCCCACCCAGCAACCTCTAATCTGCCTTCTGTCATTGCAGATGAATGTTTTCTAGAGTTTTATATGAATATCTTCTTTCACTCACCCTGATGATTTCGAGATTCATCCGTTTTGTTGTGTGCATCAAGAGTTCATTCCATCTTTTTTTTAAGTTTTTATTGTGAATTGAGTGATCGTTTACATAAGAGAGCATCAGCTTTACATTGATCTTATTGTATTTTGTTTCATTGCAATGATTACCATCCCCTCCATGCATCATCATTCAACAACATTTGCTTCCATTCTCTCTGGTTTTTTTTTTTGGATGATGTACATACCGAAGCACTCAGGAATATATAACCATTCAAACAACCAAAGGGCACACCCTGCAAGCCTGCCCTGCCACTCCCGGCTTCCAGCACACAGCCCCTCTCCCTTCCTGAGTCCAGAATCCCCAGCTGCTAGTTCATTCCTTTTTTATTGCTGAGAAGTAGTTCATGGTATGGATAGACCACAATTTGCTTATACATTCGCTTATTGATTTGCCTTGGAATGTTTCCTATTGAAACCCATTTCAAATAAAGTTGCTATGAACTTTGGTGTATAAGACTTTGCATGGAAAACTATTATCTTTTCTCTTGGGTAAATACTTAAGACTAGAATGGTTGGTGTATATTTAACTTTTTAAGAAACATATTCAGAGTTTTAAAATATATACCAGAGTATAACAACAAAAAGATAACCCAATCAAAGAACAAACAAGGGACTTGCACAAGTATTTCACCAAAGAGGTTATTGAAGTGGCCATCAAAGCTCATAGAAGATGCTCAATGTTCTTAGTCATTGTTATTGTTGTTGTTAGGTGCCGTC